AAGCATACTGATGAAATCCATCCGGCATTCTAATCTGTGATGAGGTCTTCCCTTCTTGGGATAGGCACAGGCATTTCTTGTGGAGACTTTGCACGTACAGGGAGGCATTGAAAGGACTGTTGGATGTGGATAAACTCCCCCAATATTAAAATGCCTCAAGTACCACTTTGTGTCTGGCTTTTGCCCCTTATCACTAGATAATATGGGAGGAAACATTTTTGGTCTTCAATGAGAGTTTTAATGAGCTCTGGGAGATTGGTCATTTCCCCCATGTAAGCAAAAAAAAAGTGATGAAATAGTCATTTCTTGATGGCTTGGTATAACTTCAGCTGATAAGTGAGGCTATAAAACGTGATAAACAACAATAAAGAGAAGGGAGTGGGACTGTTAGTTTGGGAAGAATGTTGCAATTACTTCCCCATGTAAAGCAGTATGCAACTAGTCAAGTCCTCTTTAGGAAGGAGAGGATCGCAAACAACATGTATAAACACCTACTTCCAGCAGTACATTATTATTTCAGTATAATCATCTCTGTTTTACAACTAGGTCATTTCTCCTCGACTTTGTTTTCCATGTAACAAAATCATTTTGGTTGATTTTTTTAATGAAGAAAGAACAATGAAGCAAGAAAAATAATTCACCTAATCAACACTCGGTTGCCAAACTACATGGCACATATCAGCAACAATGTAACAGTTTTCCCTGAATATTTTTGACCTATGTTTGGTTGAGTCCATGGGTGTGGAACCTGTGAGCACAAAGCACTGACTGTGGGGAGGCCTACAATGATGTGTCTGTACCGAACATGTACAACTTTTATTTTGTCCTTATTTCCTAAATGATACAGTTTAACAACTTACTTTCATAGCATTACATTTCATTAGGTATTATAAGTAACCTACGCATGCAAGAGGATGTGGGTAGTTATATGCAAATACTACCCTCTTTTATGGAAGGCACTTGGGCATCCACAGATGTTTGTATCTACCAGGGATCCTGGCACCAAAACCCCGATGGATACCAAGGACACCAAGGGAAGACTGAAAAAATATGTCTGTTTTTGTATATGTATATACATATGAGGGGGAGCCAAAAATAACTGGAAAATTTTTATTAAAAATTGTGTATTTATTCTTATATGTTTAAACTTCAGTCACCTTCAAAGGTGACTCTCCATTTGATGCAATACACCTATCAAGGTATTTTTTCCCCATTGCTCGAAACGGTTTTTGAGTTCATCCGTTTTGATGCCTTTTAGTGCTTTCTGCCATTTTTGTTTCACCTCTTCCACATCAGCAACACGTTTCCCTTTGAAGAATGTTTTCATCCAGGGAAACAAAAACAAGTCACTCAGGGTGAGATTGGGTGAATGGGGAGGGTGGGATGTGGGGGTCATGATGTTTTTGCTCAGAAACTGCTGAACACTCAGTATGGTGTAGGCAGGCGCACTCATAAATCACCCATCATGAAATGGGCAAATACTTTGAAAGTCTTTAAAAAAAAATTCACTGTAGCCTCTACAACAATGCCAGCTAGTGAACTGATACAGAGGGGTTCCTAGAACACTCACCTAGTGGGGAAGCCTGTACTACAAGAGACCCAGAATTATCATTCCTTTTATTTGGGGGGTCTCTCCTTAGTATACATATGTATGTATTTAATATAGAAAAAAAAAACACTGAAAGGATGTCTACCAAAACATTAGCAGCAGTCATCTCTGAGTAATAAAATTGTGAGTGATATTTAATACCTTCTTTAGACTTGATATTTATTTTCTTAGCATGTTAGCAAATACGACTAATATTCACCTCACTCAGGCATCTTTCACACTATTGCAGAGTAGGCACTGGATTGAAACCAATGGGAGGGAAGCAAAAGACAAACTGACACCAGAATCACTAACCCAGCAGAAAATAGAAAAGTCAGTTGGATTGATCAACTTTTGCCTCGATGGAATGACTAGATAGTTGTGTGTCTGTCTGCTGCTTTATGGTCAGAGAAAGACCTGGAAAAACATGGAACCCCCTTTCAGTTTAAGCAGCCTTCCATCCAGGGAATGGGATGAAATCCTAAGGGAAGACCTTTGGAGAGACAATTAGAAGCCAGTGAGTGCTAACCATGAGCAGCTTACGTTAATGTCCAGGGGACATGGAGGTGGTCCAGGAAGGGGCCAAAGCTGCGTGAATAGGAAACCAGGCTCCCTGAAGGAAAAGAGACGAAGGTATGGGAGAACGACAGGAAAAGGCAAAGAAAGAAATCCTGGGGGAGACTTAGGGTTCTTGTGGCTCTTCAAATTATGTGAGCTTTACTTTCATAACAGGGTTAAATTTAGCTGCCAGAAATGAATCTACTCTTTCTCCCCCACCTTTTCTTATAAAATAGTATTAAATTTATTTCAACGGGTTGTTTGAACTATTCAGTTTTGTTACGAGCTGATGAAAATTCATCATCAGCCAATGATAGTTTCTGCCTTATCCTTGTTCCAATTTGAAGCCTGAGTACAAGCAACTGCAGCGTTCATGTCAAAAGTGAGGCGTGCCAACGGGAAGTCTTCCTCTACGACGATGAAAACTTGGCCTCCGTTCCTACAGCGCAGAGTCGCCAATCACAGTCACCCACACAGCTCTCCTGTCACCTTTCCAAGTGAAGAGCCATTCCTCCCATCAGAGAGGTGTGTTAATGCCTGTGGAGCCAGACACTCTCTAACTCTGATCTCATCTGGCCCCACGGGCTAATCAGAACCAGACTTGATCTGAACTTAAAGGCCATATGGAAGAGTGAGTGTTGCCTATGACTCATTACCTGAATCATGCCTTTCCTTGTAGGCAATCCAGACTTCAGCAGCGAGTTTTTTTTTGGGGGGGGGGGGTTGTTTTCAAAAATCTACATCCTTCATCTCCCCACCATTGTCACCATATGGCATGGGTAGTCTGCTCTACTGGAATCTAAAATAACATGCAATGTTTGGTACCTGTGTTGGAAAACCTGAGATGAGTTAAAATGCTGATAACTGAGCTCTCGCCTATACTCACTGTGTCTGAGCCTGTGGAGTTTAGAGAGGCTCCTCACATAACTCTAATGCAGCCAAGTTCCAAATGCCACTGGCGAAATGGTTAAGAATCTAGTGTCCAGTTCAGACAGGGCTATGACCTGCTGGCTGTGTGCATTTTGGAAAATCGCTGTTTCACAGCCTCAGTTTCCTCCTGTAATAAATACAGGGTACAATTACCTGGATTCCTACCACAATGGTGGGATTCGATGGTATGTGGGATTCAAACCACTCAAGCACCTAGCAGGTCAATAAGTGTTAGTTACTCATATTCATAGGGATAACAATATTCTCTTTATGTGCCTGTCAGCTTGATGGGAAACAATTATGGATTTTGGAGTAAAACTGAATTCAAATTCCAGATTTGATATGTGTGGCTCCCTAGCAATGAGGACAAGCTCCTTTAACATATGGCAACTGAGTACGTGGTATGTTACAAGAATCTTCTAAATCCTCAGCATGTAGGGAAGAGTGGGATAAATGAGTTGCTTACTCTTGTGGTGCTTCCCATCTAGTGAGGAAAAAAGTAAATAACAAAACACACAGAGACACACACATAAGAGAATAATTTCAGATATTGAACCTATGTTGAAGATAAATCTGATATTTGACCAGAAGGTACTAGAGCCGAGTAAGAGTTAACTGAGAGTATTAGGTAGTATAAGGTAGCTGAGAGTATTGTCTAAAAAGGTGACATTGGAGCAGATCCTGAATGATAAAGAGGCATCTATGTGGAAGGAGGATTTGGGGACATACACTCAACATGGCTTACCACTGGTGATGTTGAACATGGCCATTTGGTTAAGGTAGTGTTCGCCATACTCTGCTCTGTGGAAGTGAGTAGGTCCAGTCCTCTTTCTTTTAGCAACATTACACTGGAAGAAATATCACTCACATGACAAACAAACAAGAAGATTTCAAAAAAAAAGTGTTGGGTATAAACTGATAGAACAAAATTCCCAACCTCAATTACACTTTGGATGATCTTAAATTTACATAAGATAAGCATCTTGATTATGTTATCACTATAAAACCCCAGATAAGCTATTCCCTGATCTTGTTGAGACTTGTTGAAGGGGAAGTCTTTGTCATTCTTAAGGCTTCTTTATTTCATTTCATCAACTCAAGTGAAATGATGTGTTCCCCCTGCTCCACACTTACTCAGGACATAGTTGGACAAACCACAAATATGATACTTGCCACAGCTGCATCCCCAGACTAGGCATCCAAATCTCACCTGCAGGCATAGCAGAAACCAGGTGGAAAAGGCAGACAATAAGGAAACCTAAGCAAACTTTACCTATGCCAAAATCTAACTCATGAATGTGCTTCTTACCTGTTCTTTCCTAGCCCCAGCACAGTTCTATAATTTTGGAAAATTTTAAATAAGTTTTTCCCCAACTACTGATTTATATTTTAAAAGTGCTAGGTCAAGATTTCTTAGACTTCAGAGGGTACTGGAGTCCCCTGGAAGACTAGTTAAAGGACAAATAGCCAATTATAGCAAGTACCCCGGTGATGTGGATGCCACAGGTATAATGACAACTGTCCTCGATAAGTCACTTGATGCTATAGTTTTTTATTTAAAAGACAGAGATGGGGAAACTTTAATTTTGCTATTTTACTAAGGGTAAGTTTTCAAAGGTCATAGCCTTTAAAAAGATATGTATGACTGGTTGCCACTGGGACATAGAGGTGGTGAAAGGGCAGAAGCCCAGTCTCAGCCGGGGTGACTCGTAGGGCCAACCCAGTCTCTGGGTTCACTGTGCTAGAACCAAGGTTGTGAGGGGGTCTGGGTCATGCTGTCCCCAAATATGATATTTGACATTCTGAATATTGTCTACAAACAATATTTTGTAGGAATTGTCTCAATTCCTACCAAATTGAGAAAACTACCAAAGCAGGAAGGTTACTAATCTTCTCCCCACTTGTCTGTTCTTCCCTGAAACAGGTCATAACACCCTCCTGTGAGAGATGCCCTCACCATGCCCAGGGGAAAGAAGCTTCCGTATCTTCAAGGCAAAGGACCTTCAGAAGAATTGGAGCAAACAGGCCTTGCTAAGTTTACCTTAGTTGACTGCTCTCATCTCGTAGTCCTTAACCCATTGGTCACAGCCCTCCACTCTGAATCCAGCCTAGCCTAAAATAGGGGATCTGTTTCTCTGAGTCTTCATTTCTGAATGAAGGCTGCTGCATCACATAAAACTTATATCACATAAATGTGTATGCTTTTCTCTTGTTAATCTGTGTCAGTTTCATTTTCAGATCCAGTTAGGGAAGCTAGGGACCCTGAGAGGGTTAAGAAAAACGTGTTTCTTCTCTACTGTTACAACTGCTTACAGTTCAAGTCCTCCCTCTGCCCCTTCCTGGGTCTCTTCATTCCCTCCCACACGCTGAGGGCAGAGTACTCCACATTATACATTCTTCATGGAAATGCCTGCCTCAATCTAGAGATGAAACTGGGGCAATTCTTGAGTGGGTGGTGACCGTTTTATGTGTTCGTTGGTTGGTGTTTAAGGTTGCACAGACCCTGAGTTCTTCAACCACGCTGACAAGAAGCAATTGGTTTGAATCACATATTGCCTAAATTTATGTTCACAGATTATTCTCGTTTGACTCAATGCAAGCTAAGACAGAATTCTTAGATGTAGCATTATTTTCACTTATATGCTCTGGGAAAACAAAATAAATTTCATGTATAACTATAGACAACTGACTTTATTCTGTATAATGATTTAGCTAAATTAATTGGTCTCTTATGTAAAAAGAGGAAGTTTGTGGAAAACTTAAGTAATATATTAGGCAAATAAATTAATTGTTAAGAATATCAAAAATATTATAATATTCTAAACAACTCTTGGTGTGTGAATGCCTCCCCTACTAATTATATTATTTGGTTTGGATAATTTAGTTTACGCTTTGGAATTGCATTTATATTTATAACTTGCCTTTCAGAGATACTTCGGCCTATTAAAAATGTTGCTTCATTTGCCAGCCAATGTGACCTGTGTGTGAGCACAAATCTCCCTGGAGAAGAAGCTGACCTCTGCTATTCTTTGCTCTATCTCATTTTCCACTGAAAGCAGGTGTCACATCTGTCACTGCTTGGCCACAGTAGACTATGCTAATTAACTTATAAATTATGTCCATGTGGCATTGCCTCTCTCCTGTGAGGGAGTCCTATTTGTTTGTTATGCTACATTGAAACAGGGTTAAAGAGGGCCACCAGTTTTGCATAAACACTGACCTACATGTTTGGACATGTACACTGTTTCTTTGTATTCCCTACTGTGCTCTTCCATAGCTGGGGGGCTGCGTGTACTCGTTGAACGATCTGAATAGTCCAGGGAAGTATCTTTGTGTTCATTGGATATGGTAGTGTAGGGAGCAACAAAGGTTAACTATAACACCACAGGAAACATGTAATTACTGATGATGTGGAGAACAAGAATTTAATCATAATTTTTTCCCCTGTTGTCGCCAAAATTTTACTGCCCTGTGGCCCACCCTTCAGTGCTTTGCTTTGAGTTGTCCAATACTGATCTGATTAAGGCAAGTACTCTATGTGTATTTGAGAATGATTACTGCATTTCCTTTCCAAATGAACAGATCTGAAACATAGAGATTCTATTTTTAGCAAGAGATAAGGAATTAAGCTATTTAATGGTCTTTCTCAATCTCTTTTGACCAATAAAGCCATATGTACATTTACATATTTCAACCAAGTACCCATAGCAACCTCCTGAATTTTATCTAATAGTAAGCATCAGTATGGCATTACAAATAGCCAATTGACTCTTAAAGGTGAACTTGGAGGTAAAAGTAGGTAACCTCCTATCAGTACCAATAAGTATGATAAAGTTATAGGAGAAGAGAGGAAACTCAGTTTATTTTTCCAAATTGCTTTCAACAGAGCACTTGTTTAGAAAGAAGACTACAAAATGTCAAGGGAAAGTAAGTATCGAAAATTTAAAAAGTGTTTTAATTATAATAAAATATTATAAGGTATTGCCAAACATTGATATGCCGTGGTCTAAGATGCACACTGAAAAAAAAATAAACATAAGTACTACAGTTAAACCTTTGCTTTACCTAAAAGAGAAAAAAAAATAACGCAGGAATATTGATGCACCACTTGTACTAACCAAATTCAGGTAATACTGTAGCCATAATCTGCCAAAATGTGAAGGTTCAAAGAGCCTGTCTAATTCCATTTGGATTTAATTATAAATGTTTTTTCTGCCCAGATATTTTCAATACTTGTTGAATTAATCTTTTAAGAAAAGATTAACAGATGTAGATAGAAGTATTCATCAAGGCTGATTTTGAAAACTTATCTGTCATTTTGGTGAGATGCCTATCATTTAAAGTTGTCTGTCAAATGTAACCTCCACACCTAGTGCTGAAAGTTAAAAAGCCACCAGTATAACCCATCTGACTTAGAAAATTCTTATTTATGATGCAAAACATAAAAAAAGCACATGCAGTGTGGTTGAATGTGGTCTGGGCTGGGCCAGAAACCAGCTACACAGGCAAGGATGAAACACACAAACTTTCTAAGCCACTACAATTTCATTTCAAAGTTGGAAAGAATAGTAGCTACTCTGACATCATTGATTTATTTTGAAAAATTAATATATAGAGCATTTCAAATACTGAGCCAGATCTATGAAGCTGTACTAATATATGCCTCTGATAATCTACTATTATAGTTTTCTATAATACTATAAAACTGTGAAGTTTTATCATCTATAAAAATATGCATTTTGTAAATTTTTACTATAAGACATTTTTTACATGCATGACATTTCCTTGCAATTGTATTCCTGCACTGTAAAGATTTCCCCTACTTAAGCATCGAACATCTCTGAGGCTCTTTGTGAGTTAGTGATAAATGACACGATAAGGCTTGGTCTTCAATGATAACTAAGTAATTTTAGGGCTTTACTGCAGAAAGTACATAAAACATTAGCACTCTAAATATTTTTAACATCTTGATGACTTCGGAAGTATAATATTGAATCTATTCACCCCACCAAATAAAACCATTTATACATTGTTCTTCCAATGACTGTGTTCACACTAAAATGCAAGTGTCTATAAGGAATTTAGGGACTTTTTCTGCAACATCTTGTGACATTATAGAAATTTTTTAAAAATAAGGCAAAAAACAGAAGTTAAAAGTTAACTGTCTAAAACAGAGCACCATGTTGGAGTGAAGATCAAAGTAAGTGAAAATTTTAAATTATTAAATATTTAATGAGATAATTATATCATTTTTAGTGTATTCAGGAATTTGAAAATGTCCTTAAGAAGAAAATTTTGGGTCTTTTTAAAAATTAGAATCTAAAAATCATGCTGAGTTTACCAACTGAAACTTCAGGGAACAGGGACATCAATTTAAGGCAATTTGTTCTATGGAATATAAATAAAAATTTGAAAAGCATTGTTCATGCTTAGTTTGTTTAGTTCCAACAAATTCTATCTGGGTTTTAGAGGTTCCTAGGTTTAGTCCATGCCTTCAAAACCCAAATATTAATGGTCTAGTCTTGACAGAGGAAAGGAAATGTGTATTTTGTAAGTTAACATCTATGAAGCCCAGAGGTACTGGAAGCTGCTGGAAGAATAAGAGAGACAATAATTCAGAAGAATCGCTTCAGCCTATGGTCAAGCTATTAGATGGTACAGTATGACACAGGGACATTCCTCAGAAACATTATAAAAAGATATAAAATTGTCTGTAATTATCATTCTTTCTTCCCATCCCTTTTCTCTCTTTAGGTACCCAGATCTTTTGAATTTCTTAATTCTTCCTCCAAGAAAAATAATTTGACCAAATAATTCTCCAGGAGATATAATAATGATGAAAGTCACAATATGATCCTATCTAGAATACTTAGTTTTAATTAAAAAAAATTCTAAGCTAAAAGTTTCCAATTCTAGCCATACCATTGGGCCATTTGCAAGTCAACTGAGGAAGTATTACAGAAGGAGAGCTTTTTTTAAAACTTAAAGTCATTGGTATTTAAGTCACTTGTTCAGACCTCGGATAATGCTGATGCCAATGTAGTACTTTCTAGAAAAGGTTTCCAGTCCCCCACTGAAAACCCATTCTATTTCTTTGTCCTTGGAAACAGAACCCTGGTTTTACACTAGTTCTCTGTGTGCACAAATAAAAACTTACCATTCCCACCTTCCCTCATAGTCACAGGTGGACAAGAAGTAGTAAGTAGAACCAGTAGGTGAGGCTATGGAAGAAGGCTCCTCACAAAGAGAATAAGCAGACATGTTACTGCTTCTCATCACTCTCTTCCTGCTTCTCTGTCTGGAACTCCATTGTCATCACTGCAGCAGCAACAGCCATGGAATAATTTTAAGGATCAAAACCATGCATTAAGAATGATGGAACAGATGAAATAGCTGAGATTTGGACCCATCATATCTGCCTTCACTAAACTTACGTTTGGATTCCTTTTATGTGAGATGTAAACAAATGTCTTACCTTGTTTCGAACTGCAATTTCTAACTTATATGAGCATTTTACCCATATGCAATGTGTGGTATCACCACCAAAGCTGAATTGTATGGAAAATCCAGAGGCGTAATTGGAGAGAATAAGAACAGTATCTCTCTCTGTAACACACAGTATCAAGATATCTAATCAGTTCCGCATGGCATATTATTCTAGGCAGCCAAGAAATGTGTTAAAGACAGGCCAGCAGTAGCCATGGTTACTGAAAATGTGACTATGCATAAAAGCCTGCTGACAAAGTTATTATCTTGTTCCAGTGTAGTGGAATAAAACGGGCCACCAATTAGTTGGACCACTTTGTTTTAAGAGGAGGAGTCTGTATTTCTTCCTCTTGAATCCGAGCGGGCTCTTTGGCAGCTTTAACTGACAGGATACAGCAGGAATCATGCCTTGTCATTCCAGCCCTCACCTTTAAGAGAATGGCCACTTTTACTCCCTCTTAGAAAGCTTCTTCTCATAGTCATAAGTACCATGAAGGAAATCTAACTGGTCTGCTAGAGACCAGTTAGAGGTCTCTAGCATGCGAAGAGGTCTAAGACGACACAGAGAGAGAGGAGCCCAGCCCGGCCTTCCAGCCGTGCAACCATTTCTACCAAAGCACCAGGCAAATACATGACACCATCTTGGACTCTCCCCGTCCACTCAGCTACCAGCTAAACACAAGTCAAAACCACGAGGAGCAGAACAATTGTCCAGCAAAGCCCAGCTCAAATTCCTGACTCACA